CTAGACTGGCTAACACAAGGAAGTACATGCTGATCATGAAAGACGCCCACAAGGGAACAGCACCGGCCAACTACTGGCTAGTATCCTACCTCCCCACAACATGGAAAGTCACATCAGGCATCACAGTCACCAAGCTACAGGATCATATGGCCAGTACATGAGCACAGTTCAGAATGGCATTAGGAACAACCCCAGAGGCACACATCACCAGTTGTTCATAGACAGAGCAATTGCCTGAGACTCAAGGTCTAGACAGACCAATCTGAGCACAGCCTGGATTGACTACAGGAAAGCCTATGACTCAATGCCACATACATGGATCTATGAATCCCTGGCGCTATACAAAGTCAACAAGACACTAAGGACTTTTCTCAAGAACTCAATGGGACTGTGGAAGACAACACTGGAAGTCAACTCAAGACAGCTCGCATAAGTGGCCATCAAGTCCAGCATATACCAAGGCGATGCACTTCCATGCGGCTGTTTTGCATAGGCTTGAACCCCCTCAAGGGATTCAGAAGGACTGGATATAGATACAAGTGGAACGAGTGGAACTACCATCAGCCACCTCCTCTAGATGGATGACATCAAGCTGTATACTAAGAGTAAATGAGACATCAACTCGCTGATCCATCTGACACAGATCTACAGTGAGAACACTGGGATGTCATTCGGACTGTCCGGACTGGATGTCATCCAGTGTGGCTGGATGGTAGTAAGGAGAGGGAAGATAGTTAAGACTGATGGGGTGGAACTACCAGCTGACATACAGTGGGGCAAAAAAGTATTTAGTCAGCCACCAATTGTGCAGGTTCTCTATCCTTTGTTGGCAATGACAGAGGTCAAACGTTTTCTGTAAGTCTTCACAAGGTTTTCACACAGGGGGAAAAATCCAGAAAATCACATTGTCTGATTTTTAAAGAATTTATTTGCAAATCATGGTGGAAAATAAGTATTTGGTCACCTACAAACAAGCGGGGGAAAAATCCAGAAAATCACATTGTCTGATTTTTAAAGAATTTATTTGCAAATCATGGTGGAAAATAAGTATTTGGTCACCTACAAACAAGCGGGGGAAAAATCCAGAAAATCACATTGTCTGATTTTTAAAGAATTTATTTGCAAATCATGGTGGAAAATAAGTATTTGGTCACCTACAAACAAGCGGGGGAAAAATCCAGAAAATCACATTGTCTGATTTTTAAAGAATTTATTTGCAAATCATGGTGGAAAATAAGTATTTGGTCACCTACAAACAAGCGGGGGAAAAATCCAGAAAATCACATTGTCTGATTTTTAAAGAATTTATTTGCAAATCATGGTGGAAAATAAGTATTTGGTCACCTACAAACAAGCGGGGGAAAAATCCAGAAAATCACATTGTCTGATTTTTAAAGAATTTATTTGCAAATCATGGTGGAAAATAAGTATTTGGTCACCTACAAACAAGCGGGGGAAAAATCCAGAAAATCACATTGTCTGATTTTTAAAGAATTTATTTGCAAATCATGGTGGAAAATAAGTATTTGGTCACCTACAAACAAGCGGGGGAAAAATCCAGAAAATCACATTGTCTGATTTTTAAAGAATTTATTTGCAAATCATGGTGGAAAATAAGTATTTGGTCACCTACAAACAAGCGGGGGAAAAATCCAGAAAATCACATTGTCTGATTTTTAAAGAATTTATTTGCAAATCATGGTGGAAAATAAGTATTTGGTCACCTACAAACAAGCGCTGACATACAGTGGGGCAAAAAAGTATTTAGTCAGCCACCAATTGTGCAGGTTCTCTTTTCTGGATTTTTCCCCCCATTTTGTCTCTCATAGTTGAGGTATACCTATGATGAAAATTACAGGCCTCTCTCATCCTTTTAAGTGGGAGAACCTGCACAATTGGTGGCTGACTGAATACTTTTTTGCCCACTATACAGACCAGCTACAAGTACCTTGGTATCCCACAGTCACATGGGAACCATGATGAGGAAGCAAGGAAGACAGTACCTCCAAAGGATAAGACAGGTCCTGAAGAGCCAGCTCAATGGGAAGAACAAGATCCATGCCATCAACACATACACCCTGCCAGTCATCAGATACCCTGCCGGCATAGTGAACTAGCCAAAGGAAGACATGGAGCCTGCCAATGTCTTCACATCCAGAAGCTCCTCACAATGTATGGAGGTTCCCACCCCAATTCCAATACCCAGAGACTGTACAAAGAGGGCAGGCAGGGTCTAGTGAGTGTCAAAGCCACTGTCCTGGATGAAACCCAGAGCATCCAGGAGTACATCAGTAAACTGGCACCCAAAGATGAGCTGCTGAGAGAATGCCGGAGGCAGCAGCAGACATGGGAGGAAGTTCAAGCAGAGGAAGTGCCATGGCAAGACAAGACCCTGCATGGAATATACCAC